TTCCCTCTCTGGTTTTTAGGCATGCATGCACATGCATCCAGTGTGATTTTCAGGCCACTAGGTTCAAGACCCGAACCATCAAGGTCACCGTGTGGGATGCAACACCTTAACCACTTTGCCATCTGCTGGTCCACTTCCTCTTTTTTTAATTGGCCACAAAAAGGTAGATAGAATCAACGGTTTTTCTCCGTAGTTCTTTCTGACTAAAAAAACAGTATTTTTAGCAATATATTCACTCATATTTGAGCTTCACAATTTTATAAGTATTTTATTTAACTTAATTTTTTAAAAAATTTGACCAGAGAGGGATAGAGTGAGATAGAAAGAAAGTGAGAAAGCAAGCTGCCAGATCCAGGACTCAAACCATGGTCAGCCTTGTGGGAGTCCAGCATCCTTAAACACCATGCCACCTGCCGGCCCAAGTTTCACAAATTTTATTTGGGACATGACAGGTTCAGTGAGTTGCTGGACAGAAAGCCTCAGGCAACTTTCCTTTTTATGGATAATTATGGGATTAGAGGTAAATCAGCATTTATTTTAGAAGTTAACCAGATAAACTTTTTTTTTTCCCCAGTTTGCTGTGAGTCCATCCAGCTTCAGCAGCAGCGATTGTCAGGATGAAGAGGGACGAAAAGGAATCAAACTTTATTATCATTTTCCTTGGGGAAAGGAGCCAATAGAAACCCTGTGGAATTTAGGAGATCGTGAACTTTTACACATGTATCCTGGGGATGTGTCGCAGTTACACGTATGTTTTACCATGAGTGCCTATGTACTTTTTGCCTGATTCTTTGATTATTTCTGAACCATTTGAGAATAAGTTGTAGTCCCCTTATTGCTTCAAGTGTGTTTCCATGCTGCGAAGACCTTCATCTGCATAACCACTATAAACCATCAAAATCAGGACATTAACTCCAGTCTGTTGCCATCCATTCCACAGAACTCTTCAAATTTAACCAGTTACCCCAATAATGCCCTATGTAAACCTAGAATTGTGTCTTTTCTGTAGTCGTCGTGTGCTTTCTTCTTCTTCTCTTTTCTCTCTGTCTCTCTCTAACCAGTATGTGGGCCCTTTAGCAACATAAAAACATGTTTTTTTCTTTCACGGTAGAACACTTACATCCACACACGGCGTGGGGAAGGCAGGAGGTACAGGCATTCTCTACGGAGGCTGGCTGTGCTGTGGTCCCTTTCCTCCAGTTTCCTACCCTGCAAGATCTTGGGCACTTCATGCAGGCTGGCACGTTTCAGGCTGCCCAGGACAGGGGTTTGAACTGTGGTTGCCATGTAGGATTCAACTTCTTTTGCGCTCTCTACTTATTTTTTTGTTTTGTTATAGGACGTATGTGTTGCCCAGAGAGAGAGAGAGTGAGAAGCACCCCCGTGGGTGCACCACACTGCACTCCCTTCTCTCTCTCACACTCATGCCTGGTGTGTTCTTTAACATGTGGGATCCAGCTGTCTTAACCATAATGCTGCCAAATGGCCTGGGGTCCAACCTCCCTTGAGCAGCCCATTGCTGCTGTGCCGCAGAGCCGGCCCACTTCTTTACTTTTTATAGAAATAAACTGTTTCAGGACAGTTGTATGTAAGTAGTTGAACATGTTACTAAATAGTAAATGGAATTTGTGCCTTTTTTTTTTTTTTTTGAGAGATCTTTGTTATAGGGCACGTGTGCTCGCCAGAGACAGAAGGTGAGAAATCATCCCAGTGGGGATGGCCACACCGCAGTCCCTTCTCCATTCTCCTCTCTGGATTTTGAGCACACACACACACACACACACACACACAAACCCAGAGCGAGTTTCAAGCTGCTGAGTCTGGGACTCGAACTATGGTTGACCACATGGTAGTCCAGCATCTTAACTACTATGCCACCTGCTGGCTCTGAAAAAGTATGCTATTTTGTATCTGTTTTCAGTTGATTTTTACAGTTAACACCTAAATATGTTTTTGAGAACAGTGAACAGATCAGTAAAGTCTGAAGAACAGTTAGGATAGAAAATTTATTCCAGAGGTGTGAGAAATTGGATATTCTCACAAAGAGTTACCATTGGACAGCTTGACATCCTCAGATACCATTTTCAAATGAACATTAAAGCATTCTATTTTTGTTGTTGTTGTGTTTAGGTTTTTGCCACAGGGCCAAAGAGACAGTGAGAGGGAAAGTGAGAAATCACTCCTCTGGGGAGATGGCCACGCCACCATCTCATCTACATTCTCTCAGGATTTGGGGCATGCATGAACACGTGCCCAGCAGGATTCTTGAGCACTGGTTTTGTACTTGAACCATGGTCAAGCATATGGGAATCTAGCACCTTCACCACTATGTCACCTGCTGGCCCCCAAAGCATTCTTAATACTTTTTTTTTTTTGGAGAGGTTTTCGCTACAGGGCGTGTGCGCTCACCAGACAGACAGAGAGAGACATAGAGACAGAAAGCGAGAAATCATCCCCCGGGGGGGTGGTCACGCTGCAATCCCTTTTCCTCCATTCTCCTCTTGGGATCTTGGGCACGCACGCACACGCACCCAGCGTGAGTTTTAAGCCACCGGGTCCGGGCCGCGAACCACAGTCGACTACGTGGGAGTCCAGTGACATAGCCATTACGCTAACTGCTGGTTCCCAACATTCTTAATACTTAACTATGACTTACTCTTTGATTCAAATGTCATCACAGAAGTTGGCAGTGCCTCAGAATTATCTTGTTAAATATCAGTTCTATAAATGTGTGAAAGACCTCAGCTAAGAGTGTTAGAATTAGAAATCCAGATATTAGAAAGTGTACTGCCATTTGAGGGCAAGTTCTCATTAGTTTTAAGGTACCCTAAGCAATTCATGTGTGCTTAAAATGTCGGTACATACGTGCTTTAGTGACAGCTGTGCTTGGTTATAAGGATTAACAGAAGTTGAGTTTGGGTATTTTTTTTTTAAGAATTGTTTCACTTGACTTTATTTATTTGTTTTAATTTGACCAGAGAGGGACAGAGTGTGTGTGAGAGAGAGGGAAAGTAAGAGAACAAACCGCCAGGTTCAGGACTCGAACCTGGTTGGCCATGTAGGAGTCCAGTGCCCTTAACCACCATGCCACCTACCGGACTGTTTTTTTTTTTAAGTACTACAAAGTTACATGAATGTGCAGGTTAGCAATAATAATAGGAAGGATGAAGGTGGAACTATTGATATGAAAACTTTAAATTTTTTTTTTGGAGAGGTTTTTGCTATAGGGCGCGTGCGCTTACCAGGAAGACAGAGAGACAGAGAGACAGAAAGCAAGAAATCACCCCCCGGGGGGATGGCCATACCGCAATCCCTTCTCTTCCATTCTCCTCTCAGGATATTGGGCACACATGCACACACACTCGGGGTGTTTAAGCCTCCGGGTCTGGGACTCGAACCGTGGTCGACTACACGGAAGTCCACCAACATAGCCATTACACTAACTGCTGGTCCCAGAAAACTTTAAACATTTTTATAATTGAAATTTTATACAAGTTTGGGAACTCTTTGCTTATCAGTTTAAAGGGAGGGAATATATTAATAAGTCTGCTTATCAATACTTGATTTATTGTATGTATTATAGTGGACTTAATACAGCCTTAAAAAAATAAAACGAGTTTTTTAAAAAGATATTTAGAGGGATCAGCAGACGGCGTAATGGTTACATTGCTGGATTCCCACAAGGCCGACTGGACCCGGTGATTTGAAACTTATGTCAGGCACGTGTGTGTGTGCCCAAGATCCTGGGAGGAGACTGAAGGAGAAGGGATTGTGGTGTAGCCATCCCCCCAGGGGGTGATTTCTTGCCTTCTGTTTGTCTCTCCATGAATGCACACGCCCTATAGCAAAAATCCTTAAATAAATAAATACGTACATACATACATAAAAAAGATATTTAGTCCCATGGTGGCTAAGGGGCTGGATCCCACATGGCCAACTTTGCCGATCAGCCAGCAACTAGGGGAACACACCAGACGCATGTACGTGCCCAAAATCCAGAGCAGAATGGAGAAGAAGGGATTACAACATGACCATCCCCCCAGGGGGTACTTTCTCACTTTCTCTCTCTCTCTCTCTGTCTCTCTGTCTCTCCCTGAGAAGAACATTAGCCCTCTAACAGAATTTTTTTAAAGTACTATTGAGGACAAAAAAAAAAAAAAAACCATAAATAAAAAATATTATGAAAACAACTTTATATTTCAAAAATATGAGCCCTTTTTTCTAAGCACACCAGCATTCCCCCAAGGGCACTTCTAATCTTTAAACAACTTTTACTTAAGAGTAAAATATGGGCCCGAGGCGGTGTGGTGGTTAAGAGTACTAGACTCCCACATGGATGACTGTGGTTTGAGTCCCAGACCTGGCGGCTTGCTTCCTCACTCCTCTCCCTCTCTGGTAAGATTATAAATAAATAAAGTAAAAATAACATAATTCTTTTGGGGAAAAAAAAAGAGTAAAATACCAATTCTTACCGAGGAGGCAATGAAAAAAGAGTGACGCCTAGTTCCCCTTCCAACTGAGTTAGTTTAGACTCTCTGGGTGTGGAGCCCCAGTGCTGTTAAGGGATAAGCCTCACAGGTTATTCTAATAGGTGACCAGCTGAGGCCTGGTGATGTCAATCCAGTGCTTAGCATAGGTATGGCACGGTGGGTACTTCATAAAATGGATTTTTAATTTTACATTGTGATTATATGTGTCTAATTTTAAGAGATTTCTGTTAAATGATACTTTGTTTTTGTTCTCCTTTCTTGTGAAGGGCCGAGATGGACGGAAAAATGTGGTGCCTTGTGTTCTCTCTGTCAGTGGGGACCTCGACCGAGGCCTCCTGGCTTACCTCTATGACGCTCTCCAGCTAACAGAGGACTCCTTTACAAGAAAGAAAAATGTTCAAAGAAAGGTGCTTGGATATTTCAGAGATGACTTGGGAACCTAAAAATATGGGTTCTTTTTTTTTTTTTTTTCCTTTTTTAATGCTAGTGTGTATGGTTTCTTACAAACTCTGAAGAATCAATCTCTTTTAGTGCTTGTAGTTTAAGAAATTTTTAGTTCTTAGAATCTAATCACAGGAATAATAATCGGGTTCTCAGAGAATAAAACAGGGCATCCCTACTGGGTCATTTCGAGGCATTTTTACTCTGTCTAAGCAGGCAGCTCTCTCTCATTCTTAGCCCTGGAGATGTTCCATTGATGACTTTCATTGGCATCAGAAGTGGGAGGGTTGCTAAGTAGGGTAAGACAGACAGGGCCAGCGAGACCTGTGTGTTGACTGCTGCCCCAGGGATCTGGCTTCTGATCGTGCTCCAGGTGGCTGGTCGTGGATCACGGGGGCTAGGTAGGCACCTCAGCCAACAGAAAGGCTTATTATAGGACATGCACTTTGAGCCTGTCCATGAGCTTGAAAAAAAATCAAGAGAGGAGGATTTGAAGTTAGAAGAAATGACTAACAGCAAGATGTTGGAGGAAGCTGGAGGGATCAAGACAGGACCAAGAGCATAGCTGTGGAGGGATCTGTCTGCAAAGGAGTTATTGGGAATATACTTGGAAACCAAGAGTCATTTGAACCACTCTTCTTGGTCAAGCTGTCTATCATGCAGTGTTCCTTTAGATTGACATGGCCATAGAAAAGGACCATTACAGGATTGTTCTGGGGGTTGGGATTTTTAGGATCTGCTTAACAAATAAACCAGTGGGATCCTTTCTTTTTCTTATACTTCACATCGACCATCAGCAAATTCTGTTTGACTCTTACTTCAAAATGTATCCTGAATCTGACCACTTCTGGCCCCCTGTGCTGCTCCTACCCTGCTTAAAGCCACCATCGTCCCCTCTTCCTGCAGAGTGGCCTGTTAAAAGATGCATATTGTGCTGCTTCTCTGCTCAGAATGTTCTAGTAGTTTTCTCATCTCGGGGAAAGCCAAAGCTCTTTCTTTTTTTGACCTCCTGTTACTCTCCACCTACTCAATCTGCTTCAGCAGCACTGACCTCCTGGCTCTTTCTAGAACATGCCAGGCATGCTCCTGGCCCAGAGTCTGATAATTTGTTCTCTCTTTATCCCGGAGTGTTCTCTTTTCTGTGGAGAGATTTTGCTATAGGGCGTGTGCACTTGCCTGAGAGACAACCAGAAAGCAAGATATCACCCCCCAGGGAGATGGCCACACCACAATCCCTTCTCCAGTCTTCTTGGGATTTTTGGGCATGCACACACACACACCTGGTGTGAGTTTCAAGCCGCCAGGTCCAGGACTCTAACCACAGTTGGCCGTATGGGAGTCCAGCACCGTAACATTAGGCTATCTGCTGGTCCCACCTGGAGTGTTCTTTGTCCATCATCTGCTTGTCTGGTTCCCCTCACCTCCTTTCAAATCTGCTCAAATGCCTTCTCTGCCCACCATTGCTAAAATGTTAATCAGCCCTCCACCAGCCCACCCCTTGTAGCATTTCCCATCTTCTCCCCTTTTTTAGCACTTTCCACCTTCAAATATATTATCTACTAATTTATTTTGTATATCACCTGTTTCTCTCCACCAGGAGGAACAGAGTGCTGTCACCAGCACCTGCCGCTCTGCCACTCAGATGTTTGTTGGGTGGGTGCATGAGTGACAAGAGTGGGTTTAAGCAGGAGGGGAAGTCCCAGTGATAGCCACATGGCCTGGGCCGGGGGGGGAGGACATAATGCTGGGAAGAAGCATTCTGACTGAGGGAAATGGGGCTGTCAGAAAATGGGAGGATATGAAGTTAATTTTGTTTCTACAGAAGATCTAAGCAGAGAAATCCCCGGGCTGAATGTTAACAGCTGATCCATCATTAGGTGGTGTTTTTATGACCTTAGCTAGCTTCCATTTTTTACAGAGGATTGTAACTTTTTTAAAAAAACTGTGTTTGTTAGTATTTGTGATATTTAACGAGATGTGCTTTTTCCCCATTTTCCATCCTCCCTCCCCTCCTTAATGGCCTTAGGTACTTAAACTTCACCCTTGTTTAGCCCCTGTGAAGGTTGCTCTGGATGTGGGAAGAGGCCCAACAGTGGAACTAAGACAGGTGGGTTCCATGAGGTTCAATGTTGAGATTTTAATTGTAGTCATTACTCTAGGTAACTTGGTAACTTGCCATTTAAATTTTATTTTGATTCATTTGCTTTTGAAAATATTTTAATTAAATAACGATCTATGGGGCTGGCAGGTGGCATGGTGGTTAAGGGCACTGGGCTCCCACATGGTTGACTAAGTTTCGAGTCCTGGACCTGGCAGCTTTCTTTCTCACTTCTCTCTCTCTCTCTCCCCTCCCCTCCTTTCTCCCTCTGTCCCTCTCTGGTCAAATAAAAAAATAAATAAATAAATAAAATTTAAAAAATAATAATCTGTGGATCAATACTATGGCTAATTATAATTTGAAGTGTAGTGTATTAAAGAGGTTGACTATAGGTCAGTGGGTTTCGCTGTTAGTCATGCCCATGTATAGTTTCATTTTATAATGACTACATAGTTTTAGTAATTGAAATATTAGTACTGATGTCGAGTGAATAGTTTCCCTTTCCCCTTTTAATTTAATACTTTATTTATTTATTTATTTTTCAGAGAGTTTTGCTATAGGGCACCTGTACTCACTGGAGAGACAGAGAGAGATAGAGACAGAGTGCAAGAAGTCACTCCCCAAGGGCGATAGCCATGTCGCTATCCCTTTTCCTTCATTCTCCTCTCAGGATTTTGGGCACACATGCACCTGGCATGAGTTTCAAGCCTCTGGGTCCAGTACTCGAACTGTAGTCAACCATGTGGGAGTCTAGTGTCATAACCATTACACTATCTGCTGGTCCCCTTTTTTTTTTTGGTCAGAGGCCTCGTGCTATTGCCAGAGAGAAAGAATGCACCCTTTAGTGGGCCCAGTCATACTGCAGTCCCCACTCCTTTATTTCTCCTTCCAATTGGGCATCTGGACATACTTGTTACGTTCCCAGTGTGCTTCTCAAGCTGCTGGGGTCGGGACTCCAACTGCAGTCAGTCATGTGAGATCTGCCTGCCTTAACCACTGAGCCATGGGGCTCCTCCTTAACACTTTTTAAAAAGCTAGTTAATTTATGTGTGTGTGAAAGAGAGATTTTTGGCAGGGTTTCAACATGTTCCAATCTTCCTTCCTCTCAGCCTCCCAGTTAGCTGGGACCACGTCCACACCACTGTGCCTGGCCTATTTAGGTTGGGCCAACTGAACCTGGGCCTCTCCCGTGGCTCCATCCTTCAAGCAGCAGTGTTTTAGTAGCACGTGCTGTCAAGGCTGAGCCTAACTTAATACTTTTGATACTTGTTGGTATAAACAGAGGTTCTAGATCCATAATTTTACCTTGTCTTTTCTAATCTATCTGGTCTAATTACTAATACACGTCAGAAAAAACAGGGGTAGTTTTAGTTTCTTTCCAGAGACAACTTCATCATTTCATCTTTTTTGTCTGGTCCAACCTGAGTGAGGATGCGGAAGAGATTTAAAGCCTTTAAGGGTCCCCAGCTTTCAGACCCTGGCTCCTCTAGAGAGGTCTGGGAAGTAGAGGCTAGTGAAATCAGAGAAAGAGAAGATGATAGTTCATTTTCCCTGTGGCCCCAACCCAGGGTTGTGGCAGTCTCCCCAACACCCTTGTAGCTAGCAAGTTTCTAGGGTTTGAGGAACAGTGCTATAGCTCAGTCCCTTCTTCGCTGCAGGAGACATTCCCCAGACAGGTTGGTGGAGGAGGGCATGCCCCAGCATCCGCGGGAAGCCAGGGAAGCTGCTGAACATCGTGGTCAGCAGTGCCGAGCGGGAGCAATTCTGCTGGTGGAGTGTTCTGGGTCACTAAGGAGGTTTTGAACTTGCTTTGTTTTGTATTATTACTGCTTGATAAGAAAAATGTAAAGTTCACTATGTTATTTATTCACTATTCTGTTTCTAGTCTGGCTTTTTGTCTCCAGGATAGTACTGAAACGAATCATTCTCCTCTTGAAACACTGGGTTCTGGAACACTGCTCTCCTGGGTTTCCTCCGACTTCTTTCTTTCCTGGCCCTTCGTTCCCTTCCTGTCATGCTGGCGTAACTCTAGGGCTCAGGCTCACCCCTCAGACCTGCATAGAGTTAAGACTCCTCTGAACCTCCTGCTTTGGTCTGATAGACTTTATTTTGGTTTTGTTTGTGTTTTGAATAATGATAATAAAAATTCTTGTTTGGTATAGAAATGTCTCTCAAAAGATTTTTTTTTTTTTTGGAGAGGTTTTTGCTATAGGGCACGTGCGTTCGCCAGACAGACAGAGAAAGACAGAGAGATAAAAAGCGAGAAATCACCCCGCAGGGGGGATGGCCACGCCACAATCCCTTCTCCTCCATTCTCCTCTCGGGATCTTGGGCACGCACGCACACGCGCCCGGCGTGAGTTTAAGCCACCGGGTCCGGGACGCAAACCATGGTCGACTACGTGGGAGTCCAGCGACATAGCCATTACAGTAACTGCTGGTCCCTCTCAAAAGATTTATGTTCAGTGTTCAGCTTTGCAGTGCTTAATTTCTTCACTTTCAGTAGAAGTATATAGTTTATAAAATATACAATTTATAAATTATTAATATTAATATTATATTCAAGGAATTTATATCAAATTTAGAGATTGAGGAAATTTGTGGTTTCACAAAAATAAAGGTAATCACACTGTCAACTTTTCTTTCTTTTATACTGGAAGTTTTTTGTATTTTTCTCCAGGTTTGTCAAGGGCTGTTTAATGAATTACTAGAAAAAGGAATTTCCGTGTGGCCTGGTTATTTGGAAACTGTGCCATCCTCATTGGAACAACTTCATACAAAGTAAGAATAATTTTCTTGTTAAAAAAATGTTTCTTCACTTTTTGATTATGTGTTTTTTTTACTTTATGGTAACCAAAAATAAAGTAAACCTCTTCTAAAAATCTAAAATATAATTAAGTGGATGGACAGACTACAGTGGTAAAGCATGGGGCTCTGTGAGGCTAACCCTCATGGGAGGTTTCTGGGTTTACAGCCAGAGATCCCTGAGTGCCTATGCCCCTGGGCTGGGTAGGACTGGGGATGGATCGTGCCATTAAGATCTTGTTGAGGATGCTGATCTCTCCTTGTCTTTCTTGCTCATGGAAGAAATAAGTAAACTTAAAATAATTTCCTAGTCTTGGGGCTAGCAGGTGGCATGGTAAGGTGCTGGATTTCGACATGGCCAACAGCATTTTGAGTCCCGGACCTGATGGCTTGCCTTCTCAATTTTTCTCTCTCTGTCTCCTGTGAGCCTGTGTGTACCATAGCAAATAAGAAAAATAATAATCATGATAAATCATTTTAAAAAATTTCATGGTCGGGAACCAGCAGTTAGCATAATGGCTATGTTGCTAGACTCCCATGTAGTCGACTGTGGTTCATGTCCCGGACCCAGTGGCTTAAAACTCACGCCGGGCGCGTGTGCGTGCGTGCCCAAGTTCCCGAGAGGTGAATGGAGGAGAAGGGATTGCGGCGTGACCATCCCCCCTGGGGGGTGATTTCTCGCTTTCTGTCTCTATGTCGCTCTCTGTCTGTCTGGCGAGCGCACGCGCCCTGTAGCGAAAACCTCTCTAAAAAAAAAAAATTTTTGTGGTCTTATGAAGCTTATATGATAGTGGAACAAATAGACAAGTATATAGATAAATAAAATTGTTTCTGATGGAGTTCTACAAAGAAAATAAATAGTAATGAGATAGAGTGACGTGGTAAGCAGAAAGACCATCTTAGATGTATTCAGTTATTGCCTTTTAAAAAAATAATTATTTCTTTAATTTTGTTATTTTTTAATTTGACTGGAGAGAGACAGAGAGAGAAAAAAAATGAGAAAGCAAGATGCCATATCCAGGACTTGAACCACAGTCAGCCATGTGGGATTCCAGTGCCCTAACCACCACACCACCTGCTGGCCCCATTCAGTTATTGCTGAAACAGAAACTTAGATTAGTATTCTGAGTTATAAATGAAGCATGATTGGGGTATAATTTGTTATAAGTAGCTCTTTATTATAACATTAGAGACTTTAGTCTAAAATTACAGTTCTTGGATTACATTTAAATACTGTAAGGCTGACGTTGTTATATGGTTCTTCCATCATGCCACCCCAAATGATCATTGAGGTACTAATGTTTATTCTCAGATTCTATTTTCTTTTATGACTTTTTTAACTATTAAAATAAATAAGAAACTCTCTGAATTTTTTTCTTTCCATATTGATCTCAAAACTTAAATGGTTTTTTTGGTCCAGCCCCCAAACCCTGACTTTTAAGTTTGAAACTCTGGAAATTGGCATGGACTCTGACAGAGCTGGTAGTGAGGGGAATTTACAGTTTCTATGTCTTCTCATGTGTTGCATTTCACTACTCTTTCTTAGGTATGATGAAATGAGTATCCTCTTCACAGCTTTGATTACTGAAACTACTTTGGAGAATGGATTAATACATCTGAGAAGTAGAGACACCACAATGAAGGAAATGATGCATATATCCAAATTAAAAGACTTTTTAATCAAGTATATATCAGCAGCCAAGAATGTATAGGTTCTCATATTTGTGTATCATAAATACTCTTTTCTCCTAATTTGGTTGTCTTATGGTAACTTAGAATATTTTAGCCCTTTTACGCTTAGGAAGTGGACATTTCTGGTGCTTCCTTTGATTAAGTTTTTATTATATTTTTGATATATTCCATTGTATCAGGATTATGTTCAACTACAAGAAACAGAAGTTCTAGGGACCAGCAGTTAGCGTAAGGGCTATGTCACTGAACTCCCATGTAGTCAACCACGGTTTGAGTCCCCGACTCAGTGGCTTAAACTCACGCCGGGCGCGTGCATGTGTGCCCAAGATCCCGAGAGAAGAAAGGAGAAGGGATTGCAGTGTGGCCATCCCCCCTGGGGGTAGTGATTTCTCACTTTCCATCTCTCTCTCTTTTTTTTTTTAATAATTATTTATGTAATTTTATTTATTTATTCATTTATTTTAATTTGACCAGAGAGAGAGAAGAAGAGAGAGAGGAAAAGTGAGAAAGCAAGCCACTAGGATCGGGACTCAAACCATGGTCAGCCATGTGGGAATGTCCAGCACCTTAACCACCACACCACCTGCTGGTCCCATTTCACTTTCTATCTCTCTGTCTCTGTCTTTCTGGTGAGCGCACGTGCCCTATAGCAAAAACCTCTCCCCCAAAAAAGAAATTCTATAGTGGAATAAGAAAATTGAGGGTTTTTTTTTTTTCTTCATAAAATAAGAAAGGTAGGAGGTAGACTATCCAAAGTTGCCAAAGTTGGTATAGCTTTTATAGGAAGGGACCCAGACGCATTCTGTCTTCCTGTCCTGCCACCTCTAGTAAGTTGGCTTTTAATCTTTATACCTGTTGCCTCATGATCACAGATGGCTGTTATATTTCCAGCCTTCTCATCCACCTTCTAGTCAGGAGGAGAAAGTCAAAGACAAGGGCTAGCCAGCCAAGAGTCTTTACTTTTATGAAGTAAAAACTTGCCAGACATCCTAATCAGAAGACTCATCCTAATCAGAAGCCATTATACCATCTGCTGGTCCCAACCTGATGTGAGTTTTAAGCCACCGGCTTTGGGACTCAAACCATGGTTGATTACATGAGAATCCAGTGATATAACCATTATGCCATCTGCTGGTCCCAATTTTTTTTTTTTTAAGAGATATTCTTGCTACAGGGCATGTGTACTCACCAAACAGACAGACATATAGTAAAAAATCATCCCCTAGGGGGCATGGCAACACTGCAATCCCTTCTCCATCTTCCTGTCAGGATTTTGGGTGTGCAGGCACATGTGTCTAGCATGAGGATTTTTTTTTTTTCAAAGAATTATTTTATTTAACTTTATTTATTTGACCAGAGAGGGCCAGAATGAGAGAGAGAAAGCGAGAAAGCAAGCTGCCAGGTCTAAGACTTGAACTGTGGTCAACCATGTGTGAGTCCAGCTCCCCTAACCACCATACCACCTGCTGGCCCCAACCCAGTATGAGTTTTAAGCCACCAGTTCTGGGACTCAAACTGTTGTCAACTATGTGGGAGTCTAGCAACGTTACCATTATTGCCATCTGCTGGGCCTCATGCAAAATATCTTGAAAGTTTGGCTACTTGGTAGATTTTTCTTTTTTGGTTATTTATTTATTTTTCTTTTTCAAAAGTCTCTCTTTTTTTTTTTTTAAGTGTGTTACTTCTATGGCCAAGATAGAGAAACAGCACCCCCAACTTGGTCTCAATGCTGTGATCTACCCCCGGCTTCAGTCATATTATATTCAGTAACTATTTTAGTAAAGATCTCTCATTAATCACAATATCATTACACCTAGAAAAAGTAACACTCGGTGATATAAGAAATACTGATTATTTGGGTGTATGTGTGTTAACGGTAGTATGGTGAGATAAGTATTTTTTAAAGTTATTATCTAAGACAGGCAGATACTTAAGTATTTTGAAGTGAAATTACAGGATAATGTGAAACTTGCTTTGAAAGGTATCTGTTTATTAAAGTAGGGGATAGATAAAACAAGAATAGAACTGAGTTGAAGATGGAAATAGGCTCATGGGGGTTTATGGTACTATTTTTATGTATGTTTGTCAGTTTTCTTTTTTAATTTTTAAAATTGAAAAAGAAAATTTCTTAGAGGGCATGTACACTCACTGGAGAAAGAGGGAGAGTGAGAAAGCACTCCCATGGAAGACGGTCATCCCACAATTCCTTCTCCATTTCTCCCCTACAGGACTTCGGGCATGCACGCACGTGTGTGTGTTTTAAGCTGCCAGGTCCAAGACTTGAACCATGCAGTTGGCCATGTGGGATTCAGCTGCCTCAACCACCATGCTGATTCTTTATAATATTGAATATACATTCAATTTTCTTTTTTTTTTCTTCCCATTTATTTATTTATTTATTTATTTTGGAGAGGTTTTTGCTATAGGGCGCGTGCGCTCGCCAGACAGAGACAGACATAGAGACAGAAAGCAAGAAATCACCCCCCAGGGGGGATGGTCACGCCGCAATCCCTTCTCCTCCGTTCTCCTTTCGGGATCTTGGGCACGCACGCACACGCGCCCGGCATGAGTTTTAAGCCACTGGGTCCGGGACGCGAACCATGGTTGACTACGTGGGAGTCCAGCGACATAGCCATTATGCTAACTGCTGGTTCCCTTTTTTTTTTTCTCTTCCCATTTATTTTTTAATATATTTTAATTTATGTTTAATCACATGTCTTTACAGTGTACAACAGTTCTTTTTCCAGCACAAATACCATACATGTCAGTCAAGACAAAGACATTACTATATACGTTATCATCAGCAAACAGCTTCTCCTTTTTTTGTCAATTAAACGCAAAGCACTTTTACTTTTTTCTTCTTCCCATATCCCCTCCCTCCCATACTAATTTTTTTTAACAATTTATTTATTTTTTTCAACTAAGTTCATAAAATTTTGTGCTGTTTGTTTTCATCAGAAGGTTCATATATTGAGATTGGTCTCTTGCCCAAAAGATTTTTGTGTTCTCTTATCTAAGAAACTTGGTTATTTATTAGTGAGTTTACCAGTCTAAATTTTGCTTATTACATTTTCATGGTGTAGTTTAACTTGTTTCTCTTTCCTTTATATCATGTTTCCTATGATTTAGTGGTCAAATCCAGAGGTTTGATAGTGTTCAAAGTGAGGCCCAGTAAGTAAAAACGACCTTCAGAGCTCACGGAGCCGAGAGACCAAAGAAAGGGGAAGACAGATCCATTTTGTTGGTTGAGAGTTTATCAAGGTAACTTACAGACAGATGCACAGTCTTAGAGTAGATCTCACTATTTTCCTGCAAAACATACTTACACATTTTGTAAGGGGGAGGGATCCACAGTGGGGAGTACATGCAAGGGTGCATTTGAGGAAAGCAGAGTGGTTTGGGGCATTAACACCTTGGTACTCTATCAGAGACCTGCCACCCTCCTGGATAGGATAGAAGGCACTCCCCTGGTGGGTTCTCTTTTAACTACTTGGGCTACATTGTAGCCTTGGGAATGTCAAGGGGATGTACAGAGATCGAGGGAGTCAAAATGATGGATTTAAGGAGCTGGCAGGTGGTCTGGTGCTTAAGGTCATGGATTCCCACTTGTCCAATCATGGCTCAAGTCCCAGACTTGGGTGAATGAAAAATCACTCATGCCAGGTGTATGTGTATATGTGCCCAAAATCCCATGAGGAAAACAGATAAGGAATTGAAGCATGGCTGTTCTCTGGGGTGGGGGTGAGGGGGGGCGGTGATTTCTCACTTTCTCTCTCTGTCTCTCTCCAGTGAGCGCATTTGCCCTATGGCCAAAACCTTAAAAAAAAAAAAAAAAAAGTGGGGGCCAGCAGATGGCATTGTAGTTATATTGCTGGATTCCCACATGGCCGACCATGGTCTAGCTTAAAAATCCTGTTGGGTGTGTATGTGCGTGTGTGCCCAAGGTCCCAGGAGGAGAACTGGGGAGAAGGGAATTTGTACCATGGCCATCCCCCCAGGGAGCGATTTCTCACTGTCCCTCTCATTGTCTCTGTCTCTCTCTCGGGCAAGCACACACGCCCTAAGGAAAAACCTCTTTTAAAAAAAAATGATGGATTAACTTCAAGGTGGAGTCACTTTGGTCTCAGCACACATAGGTGGTTATGTTTTTTCACCAGAAGGTGGGAATGTTTAGCTGTTTCTCTTGCGGTTGCTAGCAACCATTAACCAGTGCCCAGATTGGTCAGATCATTAGAGGTGCTAAATGGTGGTATTCTGATTCTGTCTTTCTTTATCTGTTGGCTAGAGTTTTCGCCAAAGAAAAACTTCTCAGCCTCCATTTGCTTTCTAGAAGTATGGGAAAGAAGGAATAATTGTCAGTATCACTCTTGATGCACCAGTGCCCCATCTTTGGCTAGTGGAAGTGAAAGCCTGTTCAAGTGGGCCTTGAGTCTTTTTGACATTCTTTTTGTAGATTTTGATAGTTTTCTTGCTATCTAATATGTACTATAGAAAATGTATATTTTGGGACTAGCAGTTAGCATAATGGCTATGTCGCTATGGACCCGACTGTGGTTTGAGTCCCGGACCCGGTGGCTTAAACTCATGCCAGACGCGTGTGTGTGCCCAAGATTCCAAGAGGAGAATGAAGGAGAAGGGATTGCGGTGTGGCCTTCCCCACTTGGCGGGGGGGGGGATGATTTCTCACTTTCTGTCTGTCTATCTCTGTCTTTCTGACAAGCACAAGTGCCCTATAACCAAAACCTCTCAAAAAAAAAAAAAAAAAAAAAAAAAAGAAAACGTATATTTCTGTTTTTCCAGGGAGCCCTGGTTCCTGTTTGTGGAAAAAGGTGTTTGTAAGCCATGCTCTGGGTACCAGGGGTGCTCATTGTTAGAAGTGGCCCACCTTTCTAGGTCTTTCACTGTTGCGAACTCACAAGTGTGTGTGTGTGTGTGAACTCATAAGTTCATACCAGTACTTTCAAATTCAGGACTTTAGGAGGTTGGGGGGGTGTGCACATATTTCAGCTTTATTTTAAGTGTACAGATTGTTAAGTTTTAACAAATCTATAACCATTACTGTTACCAACCAAACAGTTCAGCTGCTATTTTTCCCAGTCAGTGAAACTTGAGGCAGAGGCTGGAGAAAAGGGGGTTTATTCTGTACCTGGTTACAGGGAGACAGCCAGCAAGCACTATTAAACCATTTCAAAAAGTGCAACACGTTTGTATTTGTGGGTCCAAGATACAAGCATGTGCAAATCATCCTTCACTCCATTCGGTCAGAGTCGATCGCTTTCCCCTGAGTCATTACCCTGATTCCTTCAAATGCCTATTCCTGGTTTCTCATCTGAGCTATGACTCAGCACATGGTCAGGTTGTTCTCATCAGAGGCCTTTCTTAATTTCAAAATGGCTGCCGTCCTGCTAAACTGGCCTGCTTCACTACTACAATAACAAGATGGAAAATTTCCATCACCCAAAGCAGTCCCCGTGTGTCTTTAGGACTGCCTCAGTGGTACCCACTATTACATTTATTGGACAGCTGCATGCTCCAAGCCAGTTGCTTTTATTTGTTTTCATTTTCAAAATTTGTTGTAGGGTAGGGTATGTGTGCTTGCTGGAGAGAGACAGAGAGGCAAAGCAAGAGACTGCCCTATGCAGGATGGCCATGCTACAGCCCTTTCTCCTCCATTTTCTCAGCATTTGGGACAGGCATGCACATGCCCAGTGTGCTCCTCAAGCTGCCACGTCTGGGACTTGAGCCACATATTCAGTCATGCCACTGGCTTTTTTGTTGTTGTTGGAGAGGTTTTCTGCTAACAAGGCGCGTGCACTCTCCAGAAAGACAGAGGGAGACAGAGACAGAAAGCGAGAAATCACCCCCCAGGGAGATGGCCACGCCGCAATCCCTTCTCCTCCATTCTCCTCTCGGGATCTTAGGCACATGTGCATGCCCACGTGCCCGGCATGAATTTAATGCACCGGGTCCGGGACTTGAACTGCGTTTGACTACATGGGAGTTCAGCGACATAGCCATTATGCTAACTGCTGGTCCCAGCCACTGGCTTTTAATAAACTTATTTTTATGATAAAATGTTTTATAAAATAAAAATGTAAAATTCGTTTACAAAGAAATTTTGTACATTTATTTCTCTTATTGGTGTGATATTACAGTACACAATTATACATTAAAAGATATAGTTGAGGGACCAGCAGATGATGTAATCTTACGTTGTTGGACTCCCACATGGTCAACTATGGTTCGAGTCCCAGACCCAACGACTTGAGACTCACACTAGGCACGTGTGTGTGCATGCCCAAAATCCCAAGAGAAGGAGAAGGAATTGCAGTGTGACTATCCCTCCTGGGGGGTGATTTATTGCTTTCTGTCTGTCTCTCCAGTGACTGCACATGCCCTATAGCAAAATTTTCTCTAAAAAATGTATAATTGAGAGGCTAGCAGGTGGTATGGTGCTTAAGGTGCTGGACCCCCACATAGCTGACCATGGTTTATGTCCCAGACCTGGCAGCTTAAGAATCACGCTGGGCCCAGTATGAACAGATGGCATACTGGTTGCTGGACTCCCACGTTGTCAACTGTGATTTGAGTCCTGGACCCGGCAGGTTAAAGCTCATGCTAGGGGCGTGTACATGTGTGCCCAAAATCCTGAAAAGAGAATGAAAGAGAAGGGATTGTGGCGTGGCCATCCCCCTGGGGCGGATTTCTCACTTTGTGTCTCTCTTTCTCTCTAGCAAACGCACATGCCCTATAATAAGAATCTCTCTCTAAATTAAAAAAAAAAAAAAAAGATTCATACCTGGCTCATGTGCATATGTGCCCAAAATCCCAGGAGGAGAATGGAGATGGGATTGTGGTGTGACCATCCCCCCCGGGGACAATTTAAGCAGAAAAGCAACATACTGTAACTTTGAGAAAAGTCTTGCAGAGAATGGAATCTAGAGGCGCAAACGAGAAGCAGGGAAACCTGTTGAGGAACACTGACGAAGCCCAGGTGACAGTGGCCAGGACAAGGGAGGTAGCAATTCCTTTCTTAGAGCAGGCAGAAGGAGCCCCGCCTGCTCTGGTCTCTGGTCTGTGGTGTTTTTCCAGCGGTGCCCTCCCCAGGGGACATTTGAAAATCCAGGGAGTTGTGTCTGGACTTCATACAGTCCTTAGGTGTCTGATTTTTCTTTTTCTTTTCTTTTTTTTTTTTTAAGAATTATTTTGTTATTATTTTAATTCACCAGAGAGAGAGAGGGAAAGTGAGAAAGCAAGCCACCAGGTCTAGGACTCAAACCGTGGATGACCATGTGGGAGTCCAGCACCTTACCCACCATGCCACCTGCTGGCCTCAGTTATTTGGTTTTTCTAGCCTGCAAGTTTCTGTGCGATTGGAGATCTCAACTGCTGTCTCTGGGGGGTTGTACCGGAAAGGGTCAGAGGTCAGGCACTAGACCATTTCCCTAAAAAAAAGGAGGAAGGCGGAAATGAGCTCCGGCATCCCCAGTGCACTGTTGGCTGTTCCTCTGGTTGGGTCTCCCCTTCACATCCTTCAGGAGCAGCAGCACCGAGAGAAGCCAGCCTCCCTAGGTTGTAACCCCCAGCTCTGGGGTCAGAAAGGGCAGAAAGGCAACGGGTCAAGGGCAGCTGGTGAGACCACAGCTGTTTGCACCCTGCATCCCAGCGAGGGTTTGGTGCCGCCCTGGTGTTGCCTTTCTCAATCGCTCTTGGATTGTTTATTTTTCATGTGAGGCTTTGTAAGAGCTCACTGCATGTTATGGAACCCTGCTCTGAGACCTCGGTTCAGAATATTTTCCCCTTAGTTACTCTTTTCATGATTTTTCTTTTTTTATGATTTGTTTTGTCATATAGTGTGTGCACTTCTCAGAGAGAGAGAGAGACAGAGAAAAGGAAACAGAAATAACCCCCAGGGCAGATGGCCACACTGCAGTCCCTTCTCTATTCTCCTCTTGGGATTTTGGGCACGCATGCACATGTGCCTGACATGACTCAAGCCACCAGATCTGGGACTTGAACTACAGTTGACTATGTGGGGGTCCAGCACCCCAATCACTACTCCACTTGCTGGCCCCCATTATTACTATTAAATTTGCTATAGAGCATGTGCGTTTACCAGAGATAGAGACACAGAGAGGGGGGAACAAGAAAGCAGGCTGCCAGGTCTGTCACTCGACCACAGTCGGTCACGTGAGAGTCCAGTGTCTTAACCATCACACCAAATGGTAACCCCTTGTCTTACGATTTGTAAAGGCATTTTTAACTGTCCATCCAATCAAATCTAACAATCCTTTGTGTTCCTGGACTGTGAATCCTAACTGAAAAAAACCCTCCCCACTTCAAGATTAATTTTAAATCTCCTCTGTTTTCTTCCAGCACTTCTGTGGCTTAATTTTTGAATATTTTAGTATTTTATCTGTCTGAATTAATTTTGTTGTAAAGACAAGTAGGAGTTCAACTTATTTTTAAAATATGGTTCTCAAATATTTACAATGGGTTGAATGAATCACCTTTGCCCCATGATTTAAAATGCCTTATTTACCCTTCACTGAGTTACCATATGTCTTTAGATCCGTAAGTGGACTGTCTGTCCTGTTGCATTGTTCTTCTTACCTAGTCATGCCCCGATACCACACTTCTCAGTCATAATAACTTTAGAAGGTTTCCCAGCATTACACAACTTTCAGTTTCGTGTACTCGCATCCTTCCTGAAACTTGCACACCGTTTCTGTATTTAGTTTCCTTCTTCAGCAAGTACATGATTTTGTTCTTAGCAGTTTTTTCAATAAGAACATATGATTGGAAGATCTCAGTCTTTTCCTTAAAATGTCTTTATTTCACCCTCATTCTTGATCGATACTTTGGCTAGTATGTAGATACCTTAATTGGTTGTTTTAAGCCACAGCATACCCCATTCTCCTATTTGGTGGGATCAAAGCCTAAAACATCACGTTCCCTTGCTGCTGGGATCTCGGAGGTGAATATCTCCCATCAGTGAGATGCACGTGCACGGGATTCAGCAAGCAGGAAGGTGGGGGTTGTGACCGAGAAGCAAGTGTTCGCCGCCGTCACGCTCTGCACTCCACTCTCTGGGCCCGAGCTCCTCAGTGTGAGGCATCTGTGGCTGGAGCAACAATGGTAACAGTAGCAGCAATAACATTCTAGTCTTGGGGCCAGTAGATGGCGTGGTGGTTAAGATGTTGGACTTCCACATGGTTGACAATGGTTTGAACCCCAGACCTGGCGGCTTGCTTTCTCACTGTCCTTCCCTCTCTCTCTCTCTCGCTCGCTCGCTCTCTTTCTCTCGTCAAATTGCAGAATAATAATAATAATAGAATAAATAAAAATAAATGTTCTAGTCTCTAGGTGTAAGAATATCTACAGGTAAAGTATTACAATTAAAGAGCCAACGTTTAACAAGGATGCTAGGTATAAAGTCAACCAAAAGATAGCGCTTCTATATATCAACAACAGGAAATAAAGATATGATTTAAATATTCAAAATAACTAATGCTCGGCCAACAGGTGGTGTGCAGTTTAAGGCAGTGAGATCCCACATGACCCACTGCACTGTTCAAATCTCAAACATGGTGGTTTGAAAGACATGCCGGGCCTGTGTGCATGTGTGCCCAAAATCCCAAGAAGAGAAGGGATTATAGCATGGCTGTTCCCTCAGGGGGTGATTTCTCATTTTCTTTCTCTCTGCCTCCCTCCAGCGAGCACTCATGCCACATATAAATATATAGTTTGCTATAGAGCATGTGCCATATATGTATATGTATATGGCACATGTGTGTGAGTACCCAAAATTCTGATAGGATGGGGAAGTGGAGAAGGGACTGTGGCCTTACCATTACACATTAAGGAGTGCTTTCTTCCTCTCCTCTCTGTCTCTCTGGTGAGTGCACATACCCTCTGGAAATTAAAAAAAAGAAAGAAATGGGGGGGACCAGCAGTTAGCGTAATGGCTATGTTGCTGAACTCTCATGTAGTCGACCATAGTTCGAGTCCCAGACCCAATGGCTTAAACTCATGCCGGGCGTGTGTGCGTGTGTGCCCAAGATCCCAAGAGGAGAATGGAGGAGAAGGGATTGTGGTGTGGCCATCCCCCCTGGTGGGTGATTTCTTGCTTTCTGTCTCTGTCTTTCTGGTGAGCACATGCGCCCTATACCAAAACCCTCTCCAAGAAAAGAAAGAAAAAAAAAAATGGAGAATGCTTTTTAGAAAACAGTAATATTGTGTAATATTGTTATGGTCTCGAAATAGGGACTGACCCCAAGTTCACTTTTTCTGCGTGTAAATCAGCCTAATAAAAACATCTTACCCTGAGAAACAGTTTATTTCTTCAAACTTCAAAAAATAAGTTCAGAATAGACATATCCAGTGTTACAATTATTACAGGCTTCTGAAATGCAAAAGGAAAAATAACTCAGGATTAGGAGATGAACTTCTGAAGGAGCTCTGAACAATCCTATTTCTAGTAGCTGAGTGCCCGGACAGAGTCAAATATGGGGGTGGGAGGGGGCTGCCTCAAACACTCACGGGAAATGCGTGTTAGGAAAGTTTTATGCATGGACTTCAAACATTTTTTCATCAAAACAAGCTTATACTGGGGCCAGCAGGTAATTAAGGCACTGGACTCCCACATGACCCATGGTGGTTTGAGTCCCTGACCCAGCAGCCTGAAAAACATGCAGGGTGTGTGTGTGTGTGTCCAGAATCCTGCGAGGAGAATGGAGGAGAAGGGACTGCGGCATGGCTGTCCCCCTTGGGGCATGGGCTGATTTCTCAGTTTCCTTCTCTCTCACTACCCTGAGTGCATGTGCCCTATGGCAATAAAGAACAAAGAGAGTGAAAGAAAAAGCTCACTTGGGAACCAGCAGTTGGCGTAATGGCTATGTCGCTGGATTCCCAGGTAGCCGACTGCAGTTCGCGTCCCGGACCCGGTGGCTTAAAACTCACGCTGGGTGCGTGTGCATGCGTGCCCAAGATCCCGAGAGGAGAATGGAGGAGAAGGGATTGCGGCGTGACCATCCCCTCTGGGGGGTGATTTCTCACTTTCTGTCTCTATGTCTCTGTCTGGCGAGCACACGCGCCCTATAGCGAAAACCTCTCCAAAAAAAGAAAAAGCTCACTTTAATTCAATTTTCTTCAGACTTTCTGAAGTATCTTTGAAGTAACCATTTTTCACTGGACCATTTCGAGCAGTTTATTCCAGAAGCTTCTTAGTAGTGCCGTGTCCCGCGCTCTCGAGTTGCTGTGTGCCATTCCGCGGCACATCCAGCCCTCTTCCCAGCCCTCCACCCCGACGGGATCTGTTAAGGGCTGTGGTGTCCTGGGTGTGCTCGGTGCCCCTGTCCAACCCATCCTTGGGCTCCTAAAGCCCTGCGTGTGGAGACCCAGCTGTGGCCCACCTTGCTGTGCTGGTGCTACCTTCTGGAATGTAGGCGTGGCATAATGGATTTCCTGGGAGGGTTCCGTCCCTGGGCAAAAGACAAAAAGCAGAAATTATGGGGCTAATCCGAGTCTGACCACACGAGGGCAGCGGCAGAAAGCCTCTGACTGCAGAGACCATGTACTGTCTTGGGTTCTAGAAACGTGCTGCCTCACTCAATCCCACGTCTGGCACAGAGTTCTCCTCTGAAAGATGGGAATGGTGTAAACCAGAACTTGGAGGGGTCTGTGTGAAACAGGGAAGCTCAGTTTTTCAGTACCCCCTGGCACGCGGCCGGCACTGTCCGTATTGGCTGGGATTATTCTCACTGTGAGCTGAGGCCCTGGGCCATGTCTACTGTAAAGCAGTGAGTGATGCCTGCTTTAAGAGGCGAGCATTGAAGACTTTGGAACACAGTGAGGGTCACTGTAATTTGATATTAAAGAATCTCCAAGATTCATTAAGTGAAGAAAATCAAGGTGTAGAATGGCGTATCTGCAATCTGCTACCATTGCTATTATTAATTTAGAGGCTAGAATAGATATATCAGGTTGTCGGGAAAGTCAGGGTTTTTTTGTTTTTTGGGTTTTTTTTGCTATAGGGCGTGTGCGCTTGCCAGAGAGACAGAGAGACAGAAAGCGAGAAATCACCCCCCAGGGGGGATGGTCACGCCGCAATCCCTTCTCCTCCATTCTCCTCTCGGGATCTTGGGCATGCATGCACATGCGCCCGGTGTGAGTTTTAAGCCACTGGGTCTGGGACGTGAATGGCGGTTGACTACATGGGAGTGCAGTGACATAGCCATTACGCTAACTGCTGGTGCCTTTTTCGGGTTTTCTATGCAAAAATGTATCATGACTTTCCTGACAGCCCAATAGAATACCTGTGGAAAGAATTTGAAAATTTGTGTTATGCCTCAGGTAAGTGGGAACTGACATTAGGGGTAGGAGGGAGGCATTGAACCCTGTTCTTTTTCTTTTTTTTCTTTTTTTTTTTTTAAGAGAGAGTTTTGCTTAATAGGGCGTGCTCACTCACCAGAGAAACAGAGACATCCAGAGAGACAGAAAGTGAGAAATAACCCCCTAAGCGGGGGATGGCCACACTGCAGTCTCTTTTCCATTCTCCTCTCTGGATTTTGGGCACACACGCCTGGCATGAGTTTTAAGCTGCTGAGTTCAGAACTTGAACGAAGGTCAATCATGTGGGAGTCCAACAACATAACCATTATGCCATCTGCTGGTCCCTCCTTTTGATATTTTTTAAATGTGTGTCTGTGTGACCTTAACAAAAAAAGACAGGGTTGGCCCCATGGCCTATTGGTTAAGGGAGCTGGATCTCATATAGCTGGCTGCATGGTTCAAATCCTGGACCTGGTGACTTGAAAAACACACCAGGTACAGGTCCATGTATGCCCCAGATCCCAAAAGGATGGAGAGATGAAAGAGAAGGGATCATGGTGTGGTCACGCTCCATGGGAGTGAAGGGAACTCTCTGTCTCTCTCTTTTTCTCTGTCTCTTTCCGGCAAGCACATGCACCCTCTGGCAAATTAGAAAATAAATAAATACAAAAAAACAACAAAACCCTAAAACCAACAAAAATACCCAACAGTCTCTTACCTGGTTGACCTGTATGGATATTCACATATATTCCAACTTCTTTGGTTGTCTCTCCATCATCCTTGGGCACACTATCTCCCGTAGCTCCTCCTACATAAATTGGTACAGAGTCATTAAACCAATTCAATCATGATTTTCTTATCCTCTGCCAAGGAGCAGAATTCCTAGAGTCCAGAGGGTGTGCGTGACCTGCTCCAGCGGCCTGAACTATGGAACAAAAGCAAACCGTGAGCTCAGCAAGGAGTCTGAAGTACTCCCTTCAAGCCAGAGCCCCTTATGTTTTTGTTTGTTTGTTTGTTTGTTTTTAATATTTTTTTCCACTGGGCACATGCGTTCATAGGAGAGACAGAGGGAAAGTGAGAAATCACTCCTCGGGGGGCATGGCCACACAATCCCTTCTCTCCCATGCTTCTCTCAGGATTTGGGCCATACGTGCACACGCGCCCAGTGTGATTTTCAAGCTGCCAGGTCTAGTACTTGAATTGCATTTTGCCTTGTCAGAGTCTCGTGCCCCCAACCACCATGCCCCCTACTGGCCTTCCTTCCGATTTACTTTCCCCAGCATGCTTTTCCATCAGATGATGCTTGCAAAGGCCAGCACATTTTCTTTCCTTCTCTGAAGGGAATCAAACGCAAGAGGTTTTGTAATACCTTCAAGAGGTTAAAAAAAAATAAAAAATAAAAATGATCCTGCTGTGTTAGTTCTGGCAAGAACCTGGACTTTTTGTAGGAAGAGGAGACAAGGTTTAACGATATGGATTGGCCCTACAGCCTAGTGGTTAAAGGGAGCCGAGTCCTACATGGCCACCACCCATGTGGTTCAAATCCCAGCCCCAGCACCTTGAAAACATACCAGATACTGTATGTGTGTGTGCCCAAAATCCTGACAGGATGGAGAAATGGAAAAGGGATTGTGGCATGACCAGGTCCCATTGTGGGGTGCTTTCTCTGCCCTTCCCTCCCCCCATGTCTCTTGTCTTTCTTGGGCAAGTGCAAGCACCCTGTGACAAAAAAAAATAAAGCCATCCGATATGGGAGCTTGCTCATAGGAGTAGTAGTAACACAACTGGCATCGTTGTAACACAACTGGGCCCACATGGGAAAGGTCCTGGGTTCGTGTCCCAGGAACCCCCTGAGCACGCAATGTGCTGGTGATCCACACTGACTCGGACCGGGGGCAGATTGCTCCGTGAGGACTCTGTTAGGGGTACTGTCTCTCTCTCACCCATGAAATAAATAAATGAATAAACTTTTTGTTTGTTTCTTTTTTAATTTGCCATAGAGCTCATGCAATTGCTGGAGAGGGGAAAAGTGAGAAATCATGCCAGAGGGTATGGCTATGCCACAGTTCCTTCTCCTCCGTGCTTCTCTTGGGAGTTTGGGCACACGCACACATATGCACCCGGCATGAGTTTCAAACCACCCAGTCCAGGACTTGACCTGTGGTTGGCCATGTGGGAATCCAGTTCCTTAACCACTACGCTACCCACTGGCTCCTAAATGAATAAACTTTGAAAAAAATGTAGGGAATATATAAGTTGTGACATCTATTTTCAAGTTTCGTGTCATATGACTCCCTAACAACTCTGCGTTATGACTCCATAGAGTTTAAAAGAGGCATGGGGATCTAACATTTGTCCTTCCTTACCTGTTTATTTTCAGTTTGTTCGAGGGTACGTGCACTCGCCAGAGAGAGAGGGCAGGAAAGTAAGAAAGCACCCCCCATGGGGGATGGTCACAGGATGATCCTTTTCCTTCCATTTCTCCCTCTTTCGGGATTTTGGGCATGCACACCCATGTACCTCATGTGGTTCTCAAGCTGCCGTGTCTGGGATTTGAACTGTGCAGTTAGCCATGTGAGATCCAGCTGCCTCTACCACCACACCACTGGCTGGTCCTAACAATTGTCCTTTAGTTCTCTCTCCATTTCTGACAGTGTCTCCATGGCCCCATTCTGCAGAACAGTCAAGCTCAGAGAGGTGAAGGCCCCTGTTGGATACTCTCAGCTTGCTGGCAGGGGCCAGTGCTGAGACAGACTTTTTTTTTAAAATCTATTACTCTCTTTGTAATTTTGAAAAATAATTAATTTATTTTATTTATTCATTCATTTATGTTTTAATTTGACCAGAGAGAGACAGAGAGAGAGAGGAAGTGAGAAAGCAAGCCACCAGATTCAGGACTCAAACCCTGGTCGGCCATGTGGGAGTGTCCAGCGCCTTAACCACCAGGCCACCTGCTGGTCCCTGAGACAGACTTTTTAATGCAAATTTCCATCCTTTTCCACAGCTGTTAGCCAAATGAAAAAGCCACTTTGAAACCTTCCCCAGAGGTGACCATAGATGTGAACAACGAAAAGCAGTAACTGAGGCATCTATATGGACAATAACTAGTTTTCTGTGGGATGCTACACCCCGTGTGCGAAGAGGAACGGTGTTCTTGTCTTCATGCTTCCTCCCCATGGCAGATCCGGTGAAGAGGCTGAAAATGCTAAGCAAAGCTCTTGCCTTTGAAGAACTTGCAGTCAGGACCTGCTATGTAACATGCAAGTTCAGGACAAAGTGAACCTGCAGAGGCCTCTTGTTAAAAAGTGTTAATAGTTTCAGGGGCTGACAGGTGGCATGGTGGTTAGGGGCTCTGGGCTTCCATGTAGCTGGCCCTGGTTTGAGTCCTGGACCTGGCAGCTTTCTCTCTCTCTCTCTCTCTGTCCTTTTCTGGTCAAATTAAAATAAAGTTAAAGAAAATAATTTTTAAAAAATGTTAGTATTTTAATGAACCAGCTGGTGGTTCAGGCAGCTGGATCCTACATGACTGACCATGGTTTGAGTCCTGGACCTGGCGGCTTCCTTTCTCACTTTCCCTTTCTTTCTCTGTGACTCTCTCAAGTCAAATTTAAAAAATAAAAGTAAAAATAAATACTAAATCTTTAAAAATAGAAAGGGAATTCTGACACATTACAACATAAATCTTAAGACTATTAATCTAAGCCAGGTACAGAAGACAAATACTGTATGATTCCACGTGCATGAGGTTCCTGGTCCAATTTAGAGGCAGACACTAGAATGGTGATCGCCCAGGGCTGGGGAGAGAGGGAAGGTGGTACTGGTGTTTAGTGGGGGCAGAGGTTCTGTTTGGGAAGATGAGAGCAGTCCCGGGGTTGGACGGTTGCAGACACTGGAGTGTACTTCCTGCCCTGAGCCGTACACTTACACATGGCTGAAGTGCAGATTTCACTACCATTAAAACAGTTCAGGGCCACCTCTGTGGGGCAGGGCTCATGTTCTGCTCTAGAGAAGCTGGATCCCAGAGGTGACCATGGTTCAAATCCCTGGCCTGAGCAGCCTGACACCACCGGGTACATGTGTGAGCGCCCCGGATCCGATGAGCTGGTAGAATGGAGAAAGATCACGGCGTGACCGGCTGAGGGTGCCCCCCTCGTGTGTGCACACACAATCTCTCTTGAATTAAAATAATCATAGTGATAATTCTTTTTTTCTTTTCTTTTTCTTTTTTTTTTTTTAGGTTTTTAGCATAGGGTGAATGTGCTCACTGGAGAGAGACAGAGAGGGAAAGTGAGAAGTCACCCCCGGAGGGGATGGCCATGCTGCAATTCCTTTTCTGTTCTCTCAGGATTTGGGGCATACAAGCCACCATGTCCGGGTCTCAAACCACAGGCAGCTGTGTGGGAGTCTATCACCTTAACTACCACTCCACTCGCTGGCCACATAACGATTTGAAGAAGTGTGGCACGAAGGTAAGAGGGTGTTGCTCTGCGGGGCTGACCCAGGTGGGAGGGTTCAGAGTTCAAGTCTGGAGACCTCAAGTGTGCTGGACCTGTGTGAGTGAGAGAGAGAGAGAGGGTGGGGGAGAGGGATCCGGGGCTGCCGAGGGTTGGGGATAAATTGCAGCAGGGTTGGACGTGCTGTCTCTGTCTGTCTCTCTCACTCATGGAGGAAATAAATGGATAAACTTTTTTAACAAGGAAAAAATTTGAAAGAAACATTTTAAATTATTCAGAATTTCGAGACTGTGATCAGAGAGCGTGGAAGTAAGTGTGGCTCTTCATAGCACAGGCTGCTGTGACTGCACAGGGGCACACCCACGAGAGGTCCCGGTGTGATTACACTGGGAAGCCGGCCTCCACCGGAGACCTGAGAACGAGGCTGTGTGAGGCTGATCAGGAGGTCAGTTCCGGCCGCCCACCCCTTCCTCATCTTTCCTCCTGGTTCATCGTCGCCCCATTGCATCTCTGATCTCCCTTTCCCTTCCGCCTCCCCTCTGCCTGGCTGCCTTGTCTTACCCACGGGAAACCAAGGGGAGCCCCTGAAGAACTTACTTGCTTTGTACTTTCGTAGTATCCAAAAAGCCAGAATTAGGATAATGACCATCAGCACCAGCAATAACCCCGGAAGCAGGAGCGGCAGGCAGAAAGGACAGCTGTCTCCACCCGGAAGAGTTTCTAGAAGGATGAAAGCACATGCTAAAGGGATAAGAGGATTGGGTTACTCGCCCTGCCCACAGGCGGTTCGAACCCCTGCTCCTTCCAGGCAGAGGACTCTCCTCCTGAGAAGTCGAGGAGCTCATAGCCCCAGGGGAAGGCCAGTGGTTCGTGGCTAACCCATCAGGGTGACCTGAACCCAGCACTGAGCCAGCCCGTGGTGAAGGGTGTCTCTGCTTTGGGAATTGGGGGGGAAGCTTGCTTTTAACAGAATTCACAGTCTGCTTATAGTTGATTGTCGGTATAATTCTGCTGCTGATCCAGTTCCGAGCATGAAGTCGAGAGGTGTTTTTATTCTCAATTCTTACAAGTTAACAGAGTTTTGTTGTTGTTGTTGTTGCTTTATTTTGTTTTGTTTTGTTTTTAAAGAAGTTTTTGCCTTAGGGTGTATGCGCTTGCAGAGAGAAAGAGAAACAGACAGTGAGAGGGAAAGTGAGAAATCACCCCCCAAGGGGGACGGCCACACCGCAATCCTCTCTCCATTCTCCCAGGATTTGGGGCACATGCACACACACACGCACCTGGCGTGTTTTTGAAGCCACCAGGTCCTGGACCTGAACTGCGGTCAACAATGTGTAAGTCCAGCAACATAACCATTATGCCATCTGTTGGTCCCCACAGTAGGGTTTTCTTATTTTATTGAAAGAAACCCAGAAGTATTTCTTGAATAAATAATTTCTACACAATTATCTCCCACTTCCTCCAAAAAGCAGGAAGTAACCTTGCTACTCATAAATAGAATCAGGTGAGGTTGGCAGGTGGCGTGGTGGTTAAATTGCTGGGTTCCTACATGGTCAGCTGCAGGTTGAGTCCCGGACCTGGTGGCTTGCTTTCTCACGTTCCCTCCCTCCTTCCCTCTCTGGTGAGTGCACATGCCCTGTAGCAAATTTTTAAAAATAATAATGAAAGATAAAATGAAATAATTCTTTAAAAAACAATGAACAGATTCAGAAATTTGCAACAAGAAATGTCTGGTTCTGACATGCTCTGTCAGGTCATACTGTACTTCATGGGAGAATCCAGCTAAATGATTTATTATATAGTTCATTAGTAAGCAGAACTACAGAAAGCCAGCGTGGTGGAACATCGGTAACGCCAATGCTCCACAGTGTTTAGGCCACGTGGGGAGGTCTGGGTTCGTGTCCTGAGGTCTCCCTACACATGCCAGCACGCTTGTGCCCGTGACCCTAACTAGCTGAGGCTGGTCTTGATCATGGTGTGAAGACTCAGTTCTGTGTATTTGTGTGTGTGTGTCTGAAGAAATTTTTTTTTTAGAAAAGAGTACTGGGCCAGCAGGTGGCATGGTGTTTAGGGTGACTGGACCCCACATGGCTAACTGAGAATTTGAGTCCCAGTCTTGTTGACTTGAAAATCATGCACATGTATGTGCATGCCCAAAATCATAAGTGGAGGGTGGAAGAGAAGGGATCGCAGCATGGCTAATCCTCCCGGTGGGTGATTTCTCACTTTCCCTTTCTCTCTGCCTCTCTCCAGCAAGCACACAGACCCTATAGCAAAATTAAAAAATAAATTTAAATATAAAACGATTTATTTATTTATTTATTTATTGAGAGGTTTTTGCTATAGGGCGCGTGCGCTCACCAGAAAGACAGAGAGAGACAGAGAGACAGAAAGCAAGAAATCACCCCCCAGGGGGGATGGCCACGCCGTAGTCCCTTCTCCATTCTCCTCTCGGGATCTTGGGCACGCACGCACACACATGCCCAGCGTGAGTTTAAGCCACTGGGTCCGGGACTTGAACTGCAGTTGACTACATGGGAGTCCAGCAACATAGCCATTACGCCAACTGCTAGTCCCAATATAAAAAAATTTAAAACAAACCAAAAAGCCCCAAAAACAAATAAAAAAGTAAAGACAAATGGCTCACTCTGTTGGAAAAAAATAAACAGCCAAGTATTGCAGAAAGGAAGGATATTGAGTACCTATCATGCAGCTCACGTGATCTCATTTGCCTTTCACCACAGTCCTGCAATGTGAGTAGTACCATGCCTATTCCACAGATGGCACTGTGCTTCAGAGAAGTTAAGAAACTTGCCCAAGGTCACACAGCTAGTACATGGCAATCAGGACTCCACAGTCCACTTTTTTTTGAGAGATTTTTGCTATAGGGCGCGTGCGCTCACCAGAAAGACAGAGAGAGACAGAGAGACAGAAAGCAAGAAATCACCCCCCAGGGGGGATGGCCACACCACAGTCCCTTCTCCTCCATTCTCCTCTTGGGATCTTGGGCACGCACGCACACGTGCCCAGCGTGAGTTTAAGACAACGGGTCCGGGACGCGAACCGCGGTTGGCCACATGGGAGTCCAGTGAAATAGCCATTACGCTAACTGCTGGTCCCACACATTTTTTTTTAACAACATCAATTTGGCACAGAAATAACAACCTATAGGGACTGAAGTGTAAGTAAAATGAAAGAAAAACACTTAGAATCTCCTTGTTCCATCCCTCCCCTGTGTAGGAATGCCTATGACAGTGTCCTCAACAGAATGGCACCCCGTGATGGTGGCCTCAGAGGGTAACTTTATTAGATAACAGCACAAATAGGATGTTCTTTCTATGGACTGAAATCCCCCTCCTGCCATTTTCAGGAAGAACGAGTTGAAACTTTCACAAGGAAGCAGACATGGACTCCTCTCTGAGATGGGATGATTTGAACCAGGCCAACGATCGATGTCTCAAGTGAGTAGAAAGATGTAGCTTCCCTGGAGTTTGTGGGAGGACTGTCAATGGCATCAGAGCCTTGGTGAGGGGTGAAAGGAGTCGCAGGAAGGCAGCTCTGCAGTAAAACATTACATTCAAAAAACGTCCAGGAGGGACCAGCAGTTGGCATAATGGCTATGTCGCTGGACTCCCATGTAGTCGACCGCAGTTCACGTCCCGGACCCGATGGCTTAAACTCACGCTGAGCGCGTGTGCGTGTGCACCCAAGATCCCGAAAGGAGAATGGAGGAGAAGGGATTGCGGCATGTCCATCCTCCCTGGGGGTGATTTCTCTCTGTGTGTCTCTCTGTCTCCCTCTGTCTTTTGCCCTATAGCAAAAACCTCTCCAAAAAACGTCTAGGAGTTTGGGGATTGTCTTATGTTCCTGAGACAGGCTGCACTAGCCACTTAAGCATGGGCGACCCCTCTGCTTTGGAACTAGGAAAGTCCTCACTGGAGCAAAGGCTGTGAGCAGCAGGTTCTCCAGGGGACCCTGAGCAAGTGGCCTCCTGGGGTTGTCTTGGCTCTCGGTCAGTTGGTAGGAGTGTGGTGACAGGCACAAGGCGGGTTCCTCTGTGCTGTCTGCTAGGCAGGCCACATCTGGAACGTTATAGTCCATGTTCAGTTCCAAAATCAACGGGCCCTGACAGGACAATGTTCTCTGGAGGTCTTCTCATGGGAGCCAGTGAAAGAACTGGGGGGTTTCACCTGGAAATGAGACAACAGTAGGATAAAAGGGATCCCTCTTTTTAATGGTTCATTTGCTGCAGCGGGAGACTGGTTTTGGGGGGTGCTGAGGACACAGGTGAAATGACACAGAAACACATCATGCAGAAGCTGACCCCTGCCAGGTCTTGCTCCACCCTGATCTTGTGGAGATTTGACCGGAGGCTATTCCCCAAGGCTTCTCTGATAACCTCCTTAACAAAAGAAGGCAGGCCTCAGCCGCTCCAGAAACGGCAATGTTTTCTTCTTAGTGTGTATGTTTGCAGTTATCTTCTACTTGTAACAAGTGATTGAGTATTTTCTATTTATGTAGCAATATGGTATTTCCTTTAGAATGCTTTTAATGAAATTTAAAAATATTTTTTAAAAATTGTCAAGGCTGGGACCGGCAGATGGTGTAATGGCTATGTCGCTGGACTCCCATGTAGAAGACCATGGTTGGAGTCCCAGACCCAATGGCTTAAACTCACACTGGGTACATGTGCGTGTGTGCCCAAGATCCCGAAAGAAGAACGGAGGAGAAGGGGTTGCGGCATGGCCATCCCTCCCCCCAGGGGGGGGCGACTTCTCACTTTCTATCACTCTGTCTCTCTCTTTCTGGCGAGTGCACGCACCCTACAACAAAAACCTCTCTAAAAACAAAAACTGTCAAGGAGTTGAGACAGCCTGTGGCATGGTGGTTAGGGTGACTGGATCCTACATGCTGACCCTATGGTTCGAGTCCTGGATACAACATCTTGAGAAACATGCAGGGCATGTGTGTGTGTGCCCAAAATCCTAAAAGGAGAAATGGAGGAGAAGGGATTATAGTGTGACCCTTCCCTATGGAGGGTGCTTTCCCTCTCTCTCCTCTCTGTTTCTGGAGGGCACACACATACCTTCTGGAAAAAAAAAAAAAAAAGATTCAGCTCATTCGGCCACATAGACTTTCCCCGTAGACCTTTCCTAAGTCCTCAGGCAGAAGCGGCTCTTCATTTCCTGCCTACCCTAATGCCAGTGTACTGCCTCTAATCCCTAATCTATAATAATTACAGTCACTTTGAATGTAACCATTTGAAATTGAACCCTAGTTAATCAGCTAGTTAATGAATCAATCAATAGATAGAGACACACTGAGAATTGCTCTTCTTCCACGGTTCCCTGTCACGGTAAATGGTACCATCCTTCACTGGCCGCTCAAGCTAGACACCTATCTGGAAGTCATTCTTGATTCCTTTCTCACCTCACCACCTGTGACTCCAAATGTAATCGATCGGCAAGTCCTGTTGGTTCTTTTTCTGAAATATTTTGTGAATCCATCCATGTCTGCCCATCCCCACCACCGTTTTTTCTGCGATGGCTACAAGAGCTTCCCAACTAATACCCAGCGTGGACTCTTGCCTTGCAAAAGTCCTCCCTTTAAATGAAAGAACTTCAAGGATGATAAATTGGGTCTGGAAACTTCCCTGCCTGCCCATTGCACATGGAAGGAGTCTAGATTCATCCCATGGCTCCCAGCCCCACCCAAATCTCCCCCACTTTCTTTCCAGTCTCATCTGGGGGTCACATTCCCCCGAGACTGATCCTCTACCACACTGGCCTCCTTGCAGGTCCTTGGATCAGCCAGGCTCTTTCTGAAGTTGGAGTTCCTGCAAATGGTCTGCTCTCCTAACTAGAGGCCTTTTCCCTTGTCTCTTCACATGGATAACTCCTTCTCATCCTTCAGGGCTGCACTGAAATGCCACTCCCTGCGAAAGGCCTTCTCTAACTACTCTACTAGGTAGGTCCCTCCCCGTCCCCTGCATTTCCCCATCACTGTGCCAGCTTCTTTTCCTTTGCAGCAATGATTAGAGTCGGCGATTTATTTATGAGTCCTTATTTGAGTTTTGAGTCTTCCTTACTGGATTGTAAATTCCATAAGGGCAGGAATCAACGTTTATCCAGGGATTGGCCCATCTGATTGCTCATTGAATATTTGATGAGTGACTTGCTGATTAGTAAATGTGTGTTTATAGCTCCTGTCTTTACCCTTAATGGGTTGAAGACAAGACTGTCTTAGGCATCTTTGAAATTCCAGTAGCACAACTGCTGTCGGAGTAAGCACTGGATAGAGAGCACTGATCTGACTTCACTGAAGATGGCGCAGTTTTATGAGCTACTAGACTGGCTCCACAGGATGGTGTAATTGCTCTCACAAAGTTGTGCACGGAAACATATGCACCGACAGATGTGCTGCCCATCCAGCAGCGAGGAGACTGGCCACTAGAGATTTTATCAGCGAAGTTACTGGCCTCCCACTATGCAGCGTATTTCATTCCATGTTTGCAGAGGTTTTCTCCCTTCTTCATAATTCTCTCCCTCCCTCCCTCCCTCCCTCCCTCTCTCTCTCTCTCTCTCTTTAATTGCTAGAGAGTACACACACTTGCTAGAGAGAAAGAGAGAAAAAGCACCCCCGCCCCCGAATGGGGCATGGTTACATGGCAATCTTTTTCTTTCATACTTCTTCCTGTCAGGATTTTGGGCATAAGTGCACTCATGCCTGGTGTGTTTTTCAAGCCATAGGGGCAGGGGGACCAGCAGTTAGCGAAGTGGCTATGCGGCTGAACTCCCACGTAGCTGACCGCGGTTCAAATCCCAGACCTGGTGGCTTAAACTCACGCTGGGCACATGTGTGTACGTGCCCAAGATACCGAGAGGAGAATGGAGGAGAAGGGATTGTGGCATGGCCATCCCCCCTGGGGGGTGATTTCTCACTTTCTCTCTCTCTGCCTTTCTGATGAGCACACGCACCCTATAGCAAAAACTTCTCCAAGAAAAGAAAAAAGCCATAGGGGCAGGGATTCCAGCTGTGGTCAGCCATCTGGGCTCTGACTCCCTTAACCTCTGTGCTACCTGCTGGCCTTTCAGATTCCTGCCAGAAGTACAACTCTTCCTCAGTTTATAAAGATCATTGGTTTTCATCTGGAGCCATTGCATCCTCTAAAACCTTATGCAAAAACTTATGTCTGTAGTCTCAGGAGCATTTCTCTGGGAAAAGTGTCTATTGCTAACATTAGATTATTGCAATAGTTATAACTTTAAAAACTGAGAATGGGGGCCAGCAGGTGGTGTGGTGATTAAAGGTTCTGGATTCTCACATGGCTGACCGTGGTTTGAGTCCCAGACCTGGTGGCTTGCTTTCTCACTCTCTTTCTCTGTCCCTCTCTGGCCAAATTAAAATAAACATTAAATAAAGTAATTCTTCAAAACAAAAACAAAAACAAAAAATCCTGGAGGATGACTGACCTAGAGCGGTGTTGTCCAACAGAATGTCGTGATCTATGTCATCCTACATGATAGCTATTCGTCTTTTGAAATGTGACTAACGGCATCATGAAATGCACTTTTTATTTCATTTCGTTTCAGTTACTATGATATTGACTTTAAATAGCCCATGGCTAATGACTACCGTACTAGATAGAACAGACCTAGAGATTCATTTGGAGTTGATCAGGAAGTCAGAGTCCGTACGTGCAGGACTCTCTCTCTCCTCTTCCAGGAGTCCATTATCAAGGTCCTCGTCTCAGATGAGGACGTTAATGCCAGGCTATTGTGGCTTGGGATGGGGAGATGGGAGAGAAATTACACCAGTAATACAATGCAGTTGGGCAAGAGGAGTGCTGGCTGATGGGGTTCCTGAGGTCAGAGGAGGGAGGTGGGAAAGGCCTGGGGTCTTCATGACCTTCCCCACGTGGCTCAACACTGGTTCCAGAACTTCTGACTTGAGTCTTCACAAAAAGGCCATTTGGGCCACACTATGACAAACCATGGAAAAGTGTCTAGATAAGTTTTCAACCATTTTGTTGTTGAGATAGAAGACTTTTGTCTAAAAATACAAGGCTATTATCTAAGCTAGCCAAACATCTTAGAAAAGAGAGTAAAATGGAATGATTAAGAAAAAAGATCTTGACCTGGCCCCGTGACCTGATGGGTAAGGGAGCTGGATCCCACATGCCTAGTACAAATCCTGGCACTTGGAAAACCTGCTGGACATACATGCATGTGTGCCCCAAATCCTGATGGGCTGGAGAATGGGGAGAAAGGGGTTGTGATGTGAGCACACTTGATGGGAGTATTTTCTCTCTCTCTCTCTGTCTCTCTGGAAAGCTCTGAGTAAAATACTTTCCAGGCTGTCGAGTAAGTGGTCACAAGAGGTATGGAGGGTCCTTCCCAGAACTAGGAAGACTCCTACGGATCATGGGATCTCCAAATAATGAGCGTCTACTTACCGACAAATGTGAAGTTGAACTCTTGACTGTATTTCGAACAGTTGAGAACTTGGGCTTTGCATTTGTAGGGGCCCAAATCTTTGATTCCTAAAATACTTTGGTTAAAAACTGTGGGTTCACCTTTTCCATCCTGGGTTCCCAGGTATGTCTTATTCCGAAACAATGAATAGGTGATTGTCAGTGACTGGTTAGCATTGAAACAAAACACAGAGACGTTTTGACCTTTCATGACCTTTTCCGTTTTTGTGGATATGTTTGGAGAAGGGAATTCTGGAAAATAAGATGACAGAAGGAAAAGTCTTTGTTAAAATCTTGTGGCCGTAACTTAGTAGTCGTCTAGCCATATGCTTCATGGGTGGACGTGGTGGGCATACTCTGCCCTGTGAGCTTTTCTAAGTGAGGCATTTATTGCTGCCCAGCCAGGTTGGCCAGAGTGCAAGGACCCGTCCACGCCAACAGAAGCTCCTCCCAGTGACCAGGCAGTGGACTTGACCAGGTAAACTCTTTCATGCTTGTTATCTCTCTGGCCAGTGAGAACTTGAAGCAGCTTCTACTAAGACTGGCTAAGGGGCCAGCAGGTGGCATAGAGATTAAGGTAGCTGGATGCCACGTAGCTGACTACACGGTTTGACTCTTAGTGTTGGCCATTTGAAAAGCATGCTTAGGCATGTATGCCCCAAACCCCTGGAGGAGAAGGGAGAATGGAGAATGGAGAAGGGGAAAGGGATTGCAGTACAGGATTGCGGCCATTCTCCCTGGAGGGGGAGGGTGCCTCTCATTCCCCACCCCCCATCTGTCTCTCTAATGAATGCATATTCTCTCAAGCAAAAGAAAAAAAAAGGATTTAGCTATGGTTCATTGCAATTGGCAGATACATTTTCTTGAGTCTTTTATTTTTTTTAATCTACTTTTTTCCCCTTGGAATTTATTTGTTGAGATGGAACATTGTTTGTCTTGCGGGCTTTTCCTTGGTTTATATTTCATTGATTGTATCTCCATAATATCCTTTACTCCTTTTTCTGTCCTCTATACTTCTGGTAAATCGATAATTAGAGCCATAGACTTGATGAAGTTTAGATTAGCTTTTCTTTAGAAAGAATGAGTCATAGAAGGTGGTGTGTACTCCCTGGAGGGGGCACGTAATGTTGGACCATCTTTTTTCTAATCTATTAGTAACCTTTGACAACTACCATTAAAAGCATGATTTTATTAGGCTAAGGAATTGTTTTATTCAATTTTATTTATTTATTTATTTATTTATTTATTTATTTATTTATTTATTTAAATTTGACCAGAGAGGAACAGAGTGAGAGAAAGGGAGAGAGAGTGAAAGTGAGAAAGCAAGCTGCCACGTCTGGGATTTGAACTGCAGTTGGTCATGTGGGAGTCCGGTGCCCTTAACCACCACACACCACCTGCTGGCTCCCTCATTTTTTTTTAAAACCACTGGAAATCTTTTCAAATCATCTCCTAGTTCTTTTGACATGACCCCAATAGTCTTTGATAGCTTGTTCATTAAAAATATATATTTAGAAATGTCAAGGCAGGGCCAGCAGGTAGTTAAGGTGCTGGATCCCACGGCTGGCTCTGTGAGTTGAGGTCTGGACCCAGCAGCTTGAAAAACACTCTGGGCGCGTATGTGTGCATACCCGAAATCAGAGGGCACAGTGGAAGAGGAGGGACGGGTGTGGCCCTCCCCACTGGACAGTGATTTCTCACTTTCCCTCTCTCTCTGTCTCACTCCAGAGAGTGCACACACCCCACGGCAAAAATCTTTATAAGGAAAGAAAGGTCAAGGCAAAAAGATAACCCTTATCAAAAGTAGAATGTACAAAATAAAAAAAAAAAAAG